TGGAAATTTGGCACTTCTCTAAAGCAGGTATTGGATTTGTTCTGAAGGACGTAATTAATATATGTAGTCTTTCATCATCTTTCCTGCTTGTATCAAGGCAGCAGAACTTTTAGCTGAAAGATTCATAACACTTTAAATGAACCAGTGTATGGAAATTTAATTATTCATTTATCAGTGTTAGCCTGCCACATGGCTGCATAGAGCCCCTCAGGACAGCTTAACAAAATTTAATACAAAACAATAAAATGCACCTCATAAAACAAGTAGGTGAAATGATCTAAAACCAGCAATAAAGTGGCCACATTTGTATGTAACAATAAGCCAAGAGCCTTGGCTTAATAAACCGTACTGTGCACATACTGGTACAAGGGGCCTGATCACTCCTCCCTCTGTACCAGCAGGCCTTCAACCAAAGTTTGTTGTTATTTAGAAATGGCTTGTTGGGAGGAACAAAGCACAAAGCATGTCCCCTTTCTGATGTTGTTTAATCACTTACACAGAAAGAGAATGAAAGGAGTGATCAGGCTGCATGCACCAGCACACAACTGTTAACAGCTTATTACATGCAAACATGGCCAATACATTGTTGCTCAATTTTCAGCAACAGCCAAATCGCTTAATAATAAAACTCAGCCCAGATGCTTGTCAAAGTAAAACAATGTTGTACATTATTACTGGAAAAGTTTGGTTCTGTTGTAGTGGGAACCACTACAAAATACATTTAGGTATTTCATTCTTTCTTTGATCTTTCTATTCTACACACAATATTGGTATTTAAAAAGTATATGTTACCTTTGAGGTAATATAGTTTAATTCTGGTTCCTCTCTTCATGCTTCGGCACTGGGGATGGACAGCAGGTGGGGCATGGCTGGTGCGCATCCCTGGGGCTGGGTGCATTGCCCAAAGGGGCAGGACGCGTGTTCTGGGGGTGAGGCACACCACCTGCGGGGGGCAGCCGCGATGGAACCCCACCGGGATTGAGCTGCCCCCTTCTTCCTCCGCCAGTGCCTCTCCATCCTGGTTTTGGGATCAAGGGAAATTAACTTGCAACTCTGAGCCACTGAAGAGGCCAAATTGAGGGAGAAAATGTGCTCCTTCTTTTCAGCCCAGAAGCCAATATGGGGGCTTGTACTAGACTTAGAAGAATAAGGTGCAGACACCATTCTCTTCAGAAAGGCAAGTTCCTAGGCCCAGTTATCTGTAGCATTCTACCAAAACTTTCACCTGTTGATTTTCCTGGCCATTCTCCATCAATTAATGCGAACAATAAAATTTGAAAATTATCAAGATGAAAGGAAATGTTGTTGAAATTCTCATAAATTGTGTGCAGGGTTTTTGATGCAGTTACCTTGTTTCTGGGGCAGCTAAGGGGTGGTTATGAGTGTCCTTTCTTCTCATTCTACAAATCGCCTGCAACCTCCCTAGCTTCCCATGTTTCACTTAAAGCGAAGTGAAGACAACATGAGGTAATTTCCCATGGGGCTTTTTCAGAACAAGAAGTGTTTGCTGCCAGGGAAATGATCCAGAGTGCTGGATAAATACTTACTTGAAAGAAAAACCCCCACCACCCTTAGCCACCCATCTTGCAAAAATAAGGCTGGCTCAAAATCCACAAAAATTCCCAAGAAATTCTCAAGACCCTTGAAGAGGCGGCAGAAAAATGGAAACCTCTTTGGCAGGGGAAGCAAACATTAGATAAAAAGGAGAACAGGGTTTGGAACAATATTAATGAACTAGATCCTAGCACTCTGCTGCCAGCAATATTCCTTATTGGCATGAGAAAAATACATATCCTCAGATATTTGTCCACACCAGTTTGGGAAGAGGCATTAGTGTGCAAGAGGAGCTCATCCTGCCCTCTACTCCTCTCCCTCAACCATGGAAAGGCTGCACTGGGAGTGTGTCACAGGCCGTGTCACAGGCAGCCAGAGTCCTGGCTTGGTATGTTGGGACCAGGGTAGAGGTCGGGAAGCAGGACTCAGCAGTCCAGGGGTCAGGAAGCCAAGAGTCCAAGTCAGGAAACCAGGAGTCAGGAAGCCAAAGCACAGCTAGGTGGGTAGCGTGTTGCTGTGGCAAAGAGCCAGAGGGAAATTCTGGTCTTATATACCCCTCCCGGCCCTTGCCACCAGGTGCTACGAGTCTTCTGTCAAGCCTCACCTGTGCGGCCACGCCTTGCCCTTTCAGGCCAAACTCAGGAAGGCCCCAGTCCTGCGAGGCCCTACCAGTCACAGGGCCTGGCTCCTGCACGCACTCCTGACAGAGAGGCCCTCTCCTACCTTCCACATAGCAATACTTAGTGACCTTTTGGGCACTGAGGCTGCCTAAATGACTTTGGAATATACTGCCATCGAGCACCCTTTTAGTGCTTAATAATATAAACCTTAATAGCAATTTTTTACATCTAGTTGCTTCTGCGCAATTCAACCTAGTTTATCTCCAGCACAGTGGCTAAGCTTTATAATGCAGAAATGAGTTCAGCTATAAATGTATAATTTGGTATCTATGCCTCTCTTGCCTGGCCATTATCAATGAGCAATTCTTGCATATCAAATGAGAGAGATTTCAAACAGGGGATTTCTTCTTCTTTCTCTAAATACATTAAGGTGGAAAGGACGGGTGGAAATGGCTTTCGGGCTCTTAAATGCTGCTTCTCTATTACTAAACTGATTGCACCTTTTGTTTTCATTAGGTGTAGACGACTTGTTAGTCCCACCTCATGACACTAGCACAGACCTAACAGAAGTCATGGAACAAATCAACAGCACATTTCCAGCTTGCCGCAGTAAGTGTTAAGTATATTGAGCCAAGGAAAGGGAGGTTGAAGCTGAGCAATGATGCAGTCATTTACAGAGATTCAAAGCCTTTGTAACACTCTATAGGGCTGCTCAGCAAATGGATTGAACAGGATCTAAAGTGAGCATAGACTTGAACAGTTAGCAGTATGCTTCAGAAATAATTACATGGTGACCCGTTTTGCTGTTTAAACTTCAAACCCTATTGCTTCCAAAAGAATCCTTACTTTCATTACCTTTCCAGCAAAGTAGCTGTTTGAACAGCCAATAAGAAGTGATAAAATGGGGTGACACAATGCAACAGGCAGCACTGCCATATCCTTCTGCTGACAAAAACCAGATGTAAACAAGTCAGAACAGAGCCAGTAGTAGTTAGAGTGTCAGACTACGACCTGGGAGACCACAGTTCAAATCCCCATGAAGCTTACTGAGTGACTCTGGGCCAGTCACTATCTCTCAGTCTGACCTACTTCACAGGGTTGTTGTGAGGATGAAATGAGGAGGCCAAGAACCACATAACACCACCTTGAAGGGTGATATATAAATGTAATAATAAATGAAAATAAAATAAAAGTAGTAATTGACAATAAAAAACCTTGTCAAAAACTATGAGCCCATGATGAGGGGAATACTAACCTAGGAGAAGGCATCTGGGAGATTATGAACTGGGCCAGGACTGTCCTCTGGTACAAAGTATGTCCATAGCAGGATGCTGTAAGAAAACAAGGTGTCTTGATAAATATGCAGTATCCACTTGGATCAGTCATTGCTGCCTGTGTAGCTAAGTGCATTCAGAATAATCCATTGCCCTGATTCATACACTATGTTGAGCCCTCATGTGGTGGAGGAATCGCATGCTTCTCCCTCCATTGCAGAAATGACATAAATTATGATGCCAGTTTCCACAATTTCTCTCCAACAGAAGAGGAGGGAGATATCCTTGCCTTGCTGCAGCAGCCATGCAGAGCTTTAATTAACATATGAACCCAAAGCTGGGGAGTGACTTTAATTTGGACTATATTTCTGATGGGTGACAGTGGTGCTATGTCTGACTCTTAGCACCACACACACTTAACCACATGGACAAGTAGCAATGGAGTAGTTCCATCATGCACATTATGGTCTCATAAGCTGTGAGACCATGGGGCTATATATACCAGTCCCAGACTTCATAGAAATGGAAGCATAGAAATATCTTATTAGGAATGAGAGATTACATTTCCTATTAATTTTTCATTCTCTCTCTACAAAGACAGATAATAATGCTCTTTATTTATAGGCCTCCTTTCACTGGAAAATCAGAGATAATACCCATGCAGTTTTGCTTGTATTTATTCTGGTCCTTCACAGAGTATAGTGCAACTTTTTCCTTACTAGAGAGATTATTGTGGCTAACTTTTGTTATGATCATTTTCAATCTTGATTGCCTGTTAGGACTGGAAGCTAAATTCAGCTCTGTAGTTTAGTAACAACTTTGTATTGCTTCCTTTGAAATGACCATAAAAGTAAACGCAGTGGAGTTCTATGAAAACTAAGGCTTATATGGTGCATAATCCTATGCAAAATACTCAGATAAAATCAAATTATATTGTGTTGTCCAGACACCACTGAACTCTATTAAATATTCCCTTTATCTCTCATGCACAGTTTCCTCCTTTTTGAAAAACTACGTCTGGGAAGATACACTTCACACATAAATAGAAAGCAAATTAAAATCCAGCTAGTTTGAACTGATCTCTAGAGTCTGGGGTTAGTTCAAGATAATTGCCCAGACCTCTACGCTTAATTCAGAACTTGAGAATCTATTTCTAAACAAGCACAGCCATTTGACGTCATTAGGCGGATGTGCTGATTGTGAACAATTAAACAACTCTTTTATCCACTGTGGTAAGGGGTCAAATTCATGCAATGTTATTGTGCTTTCTTTGTGATGGTCCTTAGAGCAAACTAGTTAGGAAAGGCTCGCATGCTTGCCCTTTATCCAGATTCTCAAGAGATGTTCCCAAGATAGATAGATTGAAAACAAAAGTGTGTTTTGATATAGACAACAAGGAACACCTGGACGCAGATGGCAGAGAATTTGGACTTTGTAGTCTCAGAATTTGTGTGTGAGAACAGACCATATATGTCTTCATAAAGTCATGGAATTGTAGAGTTGGAAAGGACCATAAATGTCATCTAGTACAATCCCCTGAAATGCAGGAAACTTTTCCCCAATGTGGGGCTCAAACCCATGACCCTGAGAGTCTCATGCTCTACTGACTGAGCTATCTGACATCTGCACCCATACCAACTATTTCCCCAAAGATGATGCCTCAGCCTCCCTCTGCATGGGTTTCTGTCCCTCATTTAGGGCACTGGGAAGGGAAGAACGAGAGGTGGTGTTGGCAGCTATTTCTGTCTCATATTACGGACATGTCACCACCAGCCCTTGAGGCAATTTCCAAAAATGTCCAGTTGCCCAATGCATCTGTCTTTTCCCAGCCTAGACTGACTCTAAATAGGGTGGGCAGAAGCAGTTTCTAATAAGAGACATGTTGGATGCTTAGAGGAACCCCATAGTTTGCAGAAATACAGCAAAAACCCTAAAGGGGCACCTCATCCCTGACACACACAACCCGAAAAATCAAGACTATGCATGCTCAGTAGTTGCAGACAACACTTCCTGGTTTCTTATTGTTTGCTATTCTCTTTTTCAAAATTAAACAAATAACCTAGGGTTGTAAATAGTCATAAATACATATGGATGTTATCCAACAGCAAAGTAAAAATATATAGCTAGGCTGGTCTAAAATGGTTAAAGAGTTCTTCTTGCTACAGGGGGACTCTGGGAACTGGTTCTCTGGGGCTCAGAATCTCTATTTCTAAGTACCCTAATCAAACCAGGATTCTTGTGGGAACCATGTACTGTGTAAATGTTTGTAATGCACATATCCCCACAGTCTACTGGGTCAGGCACAAAAGTGTGAGCCTATTAGGAATTCAGTCTGTGGATTACTCAAGCAAGGGGTAACTGTTTGAATGAGGATAGGCAGGGAATATTGACAAAGGCTCCACTGAGCACCGACAAGGGCAGCTGGTGGAGAGAGGTTGTTAAACCCCCTGCATTGCAATTCCGTTCTGAAATACTGCCGAAGAAGAAAAACCTTGATTGTATTGCTAATTGGCTTAACAGCATACTGTTTCTCCTACTGCAGCATATGTGCCACGTGCCATGAGAAACTCTTGCAGGGTGACTTAAGGACAGATCCTCCCTTCTGATAAACATTAGAGTTAACAACAGACAGCTATTTTTAATATATAATTTCTGTTTCTCAAATTAATGACTTGCAGTTCCTGGGAGAAAGCTTGTGATAACTGTGGCTTCCAAAAAACACACACAAAAAATCTTAATGGAAGCAGAGTCCCTCAGGGAAGACCTTATGTAGTTGAATCTTACAATCAAAAATATAATGGGCTGGAAATGTGTTGTGCTGTATGATGTTAACTGGTCCATAGCACTGAGGCAAAGGCCCATTATGTTCAGCAGATGGTATGCATTTGACTATTTTCTCTTGTATGAATTATAAAGTGTAAAAACCTTCAAAAACTAATAATTTTTTCCAGGGCCTGCTCAAGATATTTTGTTATCCTGGGCAAATTCAAACTTTCCACTCATACCCCTCACATGACTAATATCTGTGTATTACTTCTTTCCATGCTGTTAGGTCCCCCTAGATCACAGCACAATCCACCCTAACTGTGCCACAACGAGAAGGCAGAAAATAAACCACACACAGGTCAAATAATTCAAGCAAGTCACGTTCCCAGACAGATTATTGCCCAGAAAGCTGGTATACAAAAATGAGCTGTCCATTTTGCAGACAGGGAACATAAAGGCAGAGTGTTTCTCTTCTGTAAAATGGATAACTTTCTACATACAGAATAAGCATAAACACACCTTCCTGAACTGCAAATCTCCTTTTTACAATGGACCACCCACACCCACCCACCCACCCACCACACCCCTTACTCACAGTATGCATGTATAGTATAATACAACAGGACACAAAACACCATTCATACATATAGCACTTCCCCATCTTTTTTCATAGAGGCTACACGCATGACACCCTGAAAAGAAAAGAAAAACCACTCTGTATATGGAGCATCTCCCTCTATCACAACCCAAAACAAAGAAAGGGGAGCAAGTGGTGTGGCTGAACTGCCTAAGAAACCTGAGGCTCCTTTTTGGTGCCAAGTATGCTAGGGCTAGGCTGTTCTTAGCAGAAGTGGCTGGACTGCACAACTCCGAATAGTGCTAACACTGGAGATCACCCATAATTTAGAACAGTTTGAATTTAATTTAACAGGACTATGCAAAACCAGAAAGGTATGTGCCAGCAGATTTAATAGAAACAAGTTATGATAAAATAGTAGTAATGCTCAGAATCAAAGGGGCGGGGAGAATATATATTGCTATTTAGCTGGCTATTTTTTGTGAAAGTTTCATCTTAGTCCTTGACTTTTCATTGCAGCTAATCGTTTTGTTTTCTTATTTACAGCAAATCTTGCCGGCAGACCACAGGTATGATGTATTTTCAGTACTTTTAAAGTTGTGTGTCCACAACTGAAGTATAAACTTACATGTGACTTTGTAATTAACTGTGCATTTTTCAGCAGTTTTTGTTTCATTGTTTTAGAAAAGTAAACTCACACATTTACAATTCATTCCTCACTATGAATACAGTTTAAAACAAATGTGCACATTTACTTGTTTGCAAAATTCAGTCTGGTGATTGATGGCAATATACTTCTAACTGTTACAACCATGGCAGGACTTGCTTACTACAGGAAGTTGTGATTTTTTTGTTGGGATCCCATGGCAAGTGTGCCATAATTCACTGCACAATCATGGTTTGTGCCTGTGTGTGTTTTTAGTATAAACAAGAGAGAAACAATATTTTGTTTTAACTCTTTCATGTTGTTTTGCAATATGAGGAGCTCACAGGACCCTTTAGGGTTGATCACCATTGTCCACTGCAGGCTTTACCGATACCTATGGTTTGTTAAATCTGGAAAAGGCCACAAACATACAGTGAAACTGGTTTAACTTGCCAAGTTAAGTCTTGTCTGTGGGAGGCATGATATATTTGTGAAGCCTAGAGGCAGGAGCTTGTAAGTCCACCCTTTTAGATACTGCTAAAGTGGATTGCATATAGAGGTAAGGAAAACAAACCATGGTTAGGTGTTGTTTCCATTGGGCCCATCAAATTCTGCAAGCTGTGCATCAGACCTTCTGCTGTTGCAGAAATGGCCATTCTTTCAGAACTTGATTCAAAATATTTATGTTGAATGATGTTGCTCCCTAAGAACAGTATGTAAGATAATAATTTCTTCTTGCTCTTTTCCTTCTTTGACTTCAGGCAATGTGAAGTTTTCTGTTTTGAAGACTGCCCACTCTTCCTGACATTAAATGCAACTCCTTTTCTACAGATGCCAATAATCATACGGCTGCATGGGACCTTGTAACATACTGTTAGCTCTGTGTGTTCTTACTTCAAATAGGAAAACACTTGAACTACCCAAAGATGAGGATGTTGTGGTTTTATATAATATTATGTGTGTTTTCCCCTCCTCTTTCCCTCTCTATGCAACTGTAAATTAACAAACCGTGGAGTATTTCAAAATGGTTACACAAATGTCACTGATTTATATAATATGCAGCATCAGGAAAAGGGGTGGGGGTTTATATCCATTCTCTTTTGATATTGCTGAAGTGAACTGCATACTGAGTTTGGAGCAAAGAGTTACATTTTTACATTCCTTTTGGCTTGTTGCATTTACTGTTTCAAGTAACTTCTCTTCCAACACATACCATTCTGCACAGGTTATTTATACTTAGCCTAATAGTTTCAAAACATGGACAAAATATCAGCTTCTATAACCCTCACAGCCCCTAGTATTTGACAAATAACATTTCTGGCTGTGTATGAGCACATGAGACTCTATTTTGCCCCAGCTAACCTCATTCAACTGCAGTAGCTGTTGGCACTAGAATGGCATTTTAATGGATTCTTTCTCCCAACTGAATGCAGACTGATCTTTTCCATCCAGGCTTTGTTTTTACTTTAAAATGTGAGCTAAGCTGAATATTGACTTAATAAAATCATTCTGAATATACACTGTTTCTATTATGGGGGGGGGGGGAACGGGACATTATGGTCTAAATGTGCCAAATTTTGTGAAGTCCTATTGTGTAAATCACCCAGTGCAATGGCTCAGATCGACTTGAAATTATTTTATTCTCCTTTTTGGTAGTGTTAATAAATGAAGGAGCTCTGACTAGTTTAATGGTAAAGTGTTCTGCCTTTATATCAGAAAGGTTGTCTGCCCTGGATAACTTCAATCAGTATCAACTTGTACACATTTTCAATGGCTCCCTTAACATCATGTTAAAGGCAGAGAAAACTCTGGGGAAGTTCAGCCATACTTCAAGTAAGTAGCTGGGCATTTCCTTTCACTGGTGCATTTTCGGATTTGCATGGGTATCTGCTTTCATTACCAAAAATAAAAATCATTTGCTCAGTAAGATGTGCAGTGAACATCTCTGGAGCATCCAAATAGCGCTGGAGAAATTCAACTCTGATTTTTTGGGATGGAGAAAAGCAGGGAGGAATTCAGCATTGCGTAAAAGTGACCATTCAGTGAGGGCAAGTGTTTTGGTTTGCCAGACGGAACGATCCCCACAACTCCTACCCCCATGCACTGTTCTGGGGGTTCTGCTGATCCCCTGCAAGCAAATTTCTTGAGAGGAGCAGAAGGCCTTTCACAGGGCGGCTTTCACTGATGGTACTCAGTTGAATCCTGCCTCTAATGTTTGCTTGCCTTCTGCAAGGGGACACATAACAGAATAATGACTCCATAATGATCCCATAGTAGGAGCAGTAATACTCCTGGCATGGTGTTTACTTCTCCTAATAAAACATCACTGTAACCACTCGCTTCTCCCATCTCTTAAGCGGTGCTGTTAATACTAACAGCTATGCTCAGAGGTATTATGAGGCTCAAATTAGGTAATATATGTTACATACTCGTGACTCAAAGTGCTATCTAAATGAAAAGTATTATTTTTTTTAGTGGGGGGGGGGAGTGTTGCCAAAAGTAAGATACAGAAAAGCAGGTTAATATGTGGATTTTTCATCTAGAAAGAAATATATTTTGGTATAGATATTTTGAGAAGGAAAAATGTTTTGCAGAAAAGGAAAGCCATGACCACCTTTCTACCTCAAATCC